TTATCGATGAACGTGCGTTTCCCTCGTACCTACGAAAATATAATATTGTGTTTACTTAATTGTTATCAAATTCGCCAATTGTGTTATCATCGTTAACAATTGGAGTTTTACTTTTTAATTTTTTATTCTTTTTAATTACAATTTTAAAGGATAGATATTTTAGCGGTTTTAAAATTTTTTTAAATTTTACATTACCTGTATATAAATAGGGAAGAAGTAGTAATACATAATATTGTGTCAATATTTTAGATATCATTACCTATCTGTTATTCTTTAAATTTGAATTTCCATAAATGGAACCATTAGATCCGTACGATAATCCCATAAAATGTATTTTTGTTTGCCACTTTCATCACACCGCTGGACCAAAAATTTTGTGTCAGGTAAATATTACTTAATATTTTATTCATCTATGCTTAAAAATTGTTTAAAAATGATATTTCTAAATTTACATAACTGTCTTGGGCACTTATTTTTCTTACAATTTTATTAATACATTAATAATTAGAACCTTATAGTATAATTATATGAATGTTCASTTGGTTGTGGCAAAATATGAAAATGTAGTAAATATTAAATTGCTATTTACATGTAACAATTTTCATGAGGTATAAACAATAATATTTATATTTTATATKTTGTGCCCGATAGGTACCAAAGAATTTTATGAGCAAGGATACATTTGAGACAGTCAGTGTTTACATGATACCAAAAGGCCAACTTCAAAAATTTATAATTACAATGTAAGTATTTACATAACTGAAATATATTTTGATTGTTTTTAAAGGTTCCATGCCATAATGTTGCGTAAAAAAATAGATGGCAAAATAAAATTTCAACTTYCTAAAATTTAATTGCTGGTTGGCATTATTACTTTAATTAATGTGTTCATTGATGTCAAATGAAATTAACTAGCAGTACAAAATATGGTTTGATTAATCCATCCAGCCCTTTAAAATACCGGGTAACAGGCTTGACTAATTATTTAAGTATTCTAATTTTTTTAAGGAAGTTTAATTGAACTACCTGAAGTTAGGTCCCATAAGTATTCTATAGTAAAATATGTGCTCAGTGTCAGCGGATGTGTTGAATTCTAAGCATCCAAATTTGCGTTTGTATTATTACTTTTAACAAGGAAGTAAGCTTAAAATTCTTAAATAGTTTCAAAATAAAACGATATATTGCCTGTTTAGAACCAATACAAAATACAATGATTTTGAAATTTAACCGAAAAGGCATTGTAATGATTTTTATTTTGAAAATAATAGATATATGGAATAATTAGAAAATTATATTTTCAACATCAACTATATAATGACGTTTTTTCTGCAACATTATAATGGTATACTATTTTTAAAACATTGAACATTTATAATTTGCATACTTTTTTCTAGAACAACCAGGGACAACAAAATTTTGGGTTATCCGATACAAATTAATGATCAAAAATATCTTCGTAATGCATACTATTTTAATTTGTGCTTTGTTTGCGATCATAATTCTCATACACTACATTATGAACCCATTGTAAAAAAATTATCTTCTTTTTTGGTATGTACTTWTTATGTTAAGTTTTATTCAGAACTAGGAAATGAAACAATCACAGAAGTTTATCTTGCTCCTCCTCCTCCCCGAGTGATAGATAATACATAATACCGTGTGATTCTTTTATCATTAAACATTGAGTATTGAAAAAAGTATAAATGTTACAGGATTTATAGTTGTTAAAAAAAAAAAAAAATATGCAATAGAATCTCGATTATCCAAACCTCTGCTGTATGAATACTCTATTATCCAAAGAATTATTAAATGCAATTTACGTATCCATACATCAATAAGCGTTGTAGTGCTTGTACACATAGACATGTAAATATGTAGAATAAATAAATTTATACAATAATTTGATATTTTTAATAATAAATTTTACATATCAATAATCATATAACATGTATGTATTTTTGTAATATGTATGAATGTATTAAAATTATTTAATATTTAAATATACATATATCGAATTCCCAGTAACCAAATGTTCATGTTTCCAAACTATGTGCAGTTTCAATTAGGATAATCTAAGTTCTACAATATACATTTTTAAGCATTTTAATCCTTGATATTATTTGGTTTTTACTTTTTTAMTTTTATGAATGACTTTTAATATGTACAGTTTTATTTCATATTCCAAAGCAGAATATTTTTCTAAGTATTTCAATACCTAATTATCATGCAGTATTGCCAAATTTCTACGCACAAGTCAACTGCCAACTATGTTTCTCAACTTGAGCAGAGTATAGTTTCAAGCTGTAGGTATTTTAACTTTAGATAAGTGGAATGGAATACAGGAACTCTGCTAAATGTTGATCCACTACTCTGCTCATTTAAACCATTAATA